GAACTAGGATTAATACGCCTTATTTAAAAGGCCACGTTATCTTGGTCTTCATAGCTTTGTCTGCTTTGTTTCAGGAGTCAAACGCGAACAGACCCAGTCCATTGGCCATGCTGTTAAAGGTTTGCGACAACCTCGGCCGTGAGCTTGGTATAGGCTCATTCAGCCAGCCCTCCTGCCCTAAGGCTCTTCGATCCCGTCGCATAGATCCCCGAATCGGATCTGGAACCGATAGGGCACCGTCGAAATGGAGCTCTATAGCCATCACTGAGGCGTCACCAAAACAACCAAGCAACAATCTTGCCTTGACTACAACCTCTGAAGCGGCTGGCGTCACCTCGATGCCAACATCGCCTCACAAGCTCTCCGGCCTGGCCGGCTGCCTCAGTGGAAGCAGGCCGACGTTGAGAGAGACGAAGAGCTGCCTCGGGGCAAACTGGTACAGTCGATCCTCAACTCGGGGGTCATACCATCCCAAGCACCACCACAACCAAAATCACCTACATCCGGCTCATAACACCAGTCACAACCATCGGACTCAGTATCTGGCCGGTTGTCTGAACGGCCTTTCACCGCCGGCCTGGCTGTCTGGAGGACGACATACGGTAGCAGGAGGTACAGGAATCAGAAGGCACGGATCTCCCGTCCCTTCTCCCAGCCTCCTCCTCCAGCCCACCAATCCCCAGTCTCTGCATCGCCAGCTCCCAATCGGCGGTCGAGATGACATCGAGTCGCCAGGGCGACGAGATCTCACCTCCGGAGCCGACCAGTCGGCTTCCCTTCCTTTGTCGCTCCAGCCGCCCTTGTCAATGCCTCTGCCGTTGCCACTACCACTGCCACTACCTCTACCTCTACCACTGCCGTTGTCACTATCGCTACACCTGCCTTGGGTACAGACGCGCCAGACGGCCGCGATGGCAGGCGTGAAATCGTCAAGCCTTCAGATGGGACTCCGAGGCTCTGGTGCCGTATCAGAGCCGGAGCTATCTGCCTGGCCGATGGGCAAACCGAGCCAAGGCCCCCACTTTCCCTTGCCTCCACCACACCCACAACATCCACCACGACCATCACACCTCCCAGTCTCGGCCCAGGCACTACTGGTACCCCCAGCCATCTCAACCACTAGGGCCAGCCCGAGTCCGGCATTCGGCCAGACGTCACCGCCATCATGTTCTCCACGCCTCGTCACCCCAGCTTCAAGCTCGTCCAACATCAGACTCCCATTGTCACCACCGCCCGTCTCGGCGTCCAATTGCCTCCGTCACGCCGCATCGGCACTGCCCGGCAGTACTGAAGACGTCACTTTGGCCCTACAGTCTTTGGCTGCTATGGCGGCTGCTTTTTTTGCAATACAAAAAGACGCGATTGGCACAAAGCGATCAGCCGGTATTGCCGACGCCTCTTCTCGACTGGATGAAGAGGCCGGATCTGAGGAATGGATGAGCGCCTGCAAGGCAGGTGACCCGGCCCCAGAGGCGACGGATCGTCAGCACAACGAGGACTGCAGGTGTTCTGTCTGCTTTCGAAGACGACTCTTTGACCAATTCAGACAACAGCTTCAACTCCATCTTCCCGCAGTAGAGACGGGCAAGCCGAGAGGAGACGAGACATTCCGGCCCTGGCAACCAGACCCGATGGAGAAGGCGACAACAGCACGGAAGTCAGAGGCCGCCAGCTCGGCCGGCCAAGCTGAAATAGCGGAAACTGGGGTCGTTGGTGGAACTGTGCCACAGACTGCCTGCTATTGTGTCTTCTGTGGGAAGCACTGTCTCGGAGGTCAATCAGAAATGGTGAGCCACATTGCGGAAAAACACGAAATCGCCACACCCAACACCATGCAGGGCCCTCAACTAGCCGATGATGCTGCGGGCGACTGTAGCATGTCCAACTCTCCTCCACTTCCCTCAGGACCGAAACCCCACATCTCGCCCAGCCTCCCATTCGGTCAATTTCCCTTCCCCTTATCATTGCCAATGCCGATGTCAATGTCGTTGCCAATGTCGTTGCCAATGCCGATGTCAATGTCGATGCCGATGCCATTGCATCTGTCCCCGTTGGCTTTTCCATTTACGCATTCGACAACTCGAGGCGACCCAATTCAGACGTCTTCATCGGCCCTCTTCACGCCCAACCTGTTGGCCGCAGCAGTGGCCGCCCAAGCCAGCGGCCTGATTGGCCAGCATTCCAATCCCAGGCCGGCCGATGCACCTCAGACAGCCAATCCGAGTGGGACCACCGGGCCCGAGACCTGTGATCTGGCGCCGCGTCTGCCCAGCTTCCCATCGGCCGGTCAACACGGGCCGAGGCTAACCAGCCTGATGGCCTCGGGTATGATGCCGTCCTCCGCCTCCCAGACACAGTTACCCGGCCCGAATGTCCCGGGCCCCGGCCAATCGGCATTCTTTCCTCCTCAATCACACACAGCCCCCGCTCCGCCAGGACGCCCCCCCTTGCATCTGCACATGCCTTTGTCCACGCCCCGATTCTACACTGGCCCAGCAACAAAGTCGACAAGTCAGCGGACCGGCGGTCTGTCTGGAGGAGGCAGTCGCAGACAGACTTTGTCAACCGGAGACGCAGGTGGTGGAGACCAGAGCTTGCCGGGCATAGCCGGTTTCCAACACTTGGCCGGCCAGCTCAAGGTGCTCTTCACAACCTTGGCCAATCAGGAGATGGGCAATGCGGCCATCGAGTCGGCTGGTTCGGCTCCTGGCACTGGCGGGGTCGGCAGTCTGGATAGCGGGCCTCATTCGAGCCGAGTCGAGCAAGCCAAGTTGAGCCCAGGCCGACTTTCGCCGGGCATACCGCCCTGCCAAACAGTGGCGCTCGATCTGCATCACACAGCGATTAGGGGAAACATTGTCTCGTGACGCCAACAGCGCGAAACAGTGGGCCTCAGCAGAGATGCAGGCCGGCTCGGCTTGGCTGTAGCAGTTCGCTTATGGGGTCCGGAGGAGGCGGTTTCGAGGAAGGGGATTGCAGACAATTGACGCTAGCCCGCTTTTGCATAATAAGTTGACTGCGAAAACTCAGTGAAACTGTTTAGTTCTGAGCACTTGCCAGATCATCTCCCACGAGTTGATCTTAAAAGAACTAACACTTTATTGTAGCCTCGATGCTATAAAAAACAATCGGGCCCTCTGTGACACCATGCTATGCCATCCAATCAATGCTTGCTTCACTTCCACCCTCAGCATCTCGTTTTTATCGTGTGATGAGATTGGTTAGGCTCCAGCCTCAGCGGCACAGAGATATATCCAGACCTAATAGGGCATATCAATAAAAGTGTAAATAAGAAAATGATAAGGCATCTCAATACTTTCCGGCTCATATGGCCCTAGAGACAGGTTCACGATTAATTGAATAATTTCTAAAGTATTAACAGTGGCAAGTGGAAAGCCAACAAGTAGTAAAAATGGGAAATTGAAAAGATTATCTCAGTGTTACTACAATAGTAGATAGACTCAGAGATATTGTACGAAAAATACTCGGAAATATATGTCTGCTTTTGAGTAACAAACTAGGAAATATTAGTCTCAGAAACGAACACAATCGAGGGTTGATGATGATCCACAACTAGGGCTCATCAGGATCCCTACTTGCACCCTTTCAAATATCGTCAAAAATGCTTCTTAGATCCAGTTTTGCGTCTCGATTAGGTCAGCTGGATGATGCAACAGCCATAGTGAATAAAGGGATTTTAGTGAATTAGCAGGGCGGTGACCTCGAGTAAATTGTCTTTTCCAAGCCAAAAACATATGGTCATCATACTAGAATTCTTTATAGTTCCAGCGACCCTCACCTTGAAAATGAAGGACAATTGTTACTTAATTAATATTTTAGATGATGACAGTCCATCTGTCTACGATAGGAGAGAAGCTTTGTTAAGATGTCAAAGGACTGATAGTTGAATCTTGCCACAATTACGAGTAGACCTTACGATTACATTGAACTTTACATAGCCTTGCTCCTCAAAAGGTATTATCATTCCAACTGGACTAGACTGCAGCATCTACCTCGCCTGAACTGGTCTCATCAGCACATCCAGCGGGACTCGAACTAGCGCACTGTATAATCCTGACACATTAATAACTACGCCACAGTGCCACAAATGCCTTTGAGTCACAGGGCAGATGTGAGTTTCGCGGAGGGCCAGACATTTTGCTATACCAATATACTTTCTGTCGTGGGATTGTCGATGAAGCAAAATTATATTTGCTATAGTATGATGAAGAGATTCGTAAGTCGATCTCACCAGAAGACGACTGATTCCCATTGTACTGCACCCGTTTGGCTTCAATATGAAATTCAAGTTGACGCAGGCCAGGATGCACCATCCCTGATTTCGGGTGAAAATGGAGCTAAGCTTTCGATCGTCACAACACGAGCATCATCAGAGCTGGGACACATTCTCCCGAAGATCTCAAGCCCAGAAGGCGAACAAAAGCTCGGCCCGTTTACACCTGAAACAAGGGAGGGTATTTTGCGAACTGCGTCAACCTGAACGTCGTATTAAAGCCGAACGGCTGCAATACAACGGGAATCAGATGCCGTTTTCTGGAGAGATCGGCCAACGAATATATTCATCATGTACTTTCATACGAGTCCCTGCAACAATGTCATCACAGGAGATTTATCGAGACTCGCATTTTCTTTGTATAGACAAACTAAATTGTGTAGATCTAAAGAGTAACTGGATTTCGGCGAATCTCCTAACGTGTCTGTAAGAGGTCTTTGGGGTCATTGGGATGCTAAGCAGGCTGTTACAATGAAGATGTTTGCTTATGCCTTGTAACTAAGTGGCTTGCAGTAGGAAAACTTGTCTGCTTTTGATGGCGCAAGCTATGAGCATGACTCTCTTCTAGCTCGGGAGAAGATGGAACTTAAAACCACCCTTAAGAGGACGTTTCTAAAGCTGCAACAAGTCTCCAAATTTGAGTAACAGGGACCATGCAACTCTATAAATTCAAAGTAGATATGAAGTCGTCCAGACAACACAACCGAGTTGCGAAAACGAGGTCAGATCACATTCATAAATCCAAATTTGAAGTAGCGAAAAAAAGTGCCCTGATATACGTTGGAAATGGAGCTGATATTTAAAAATAATAAAGTGAATCGATTGACAAGGATCGTTTCTGGTTTGCATTAAGGATGCAGATCAGATGAAAAGATGAAATACCTGCAGGGCATTGAAACGGCCTATAAAAACAAATAACAACGGGAATACGCTTAATCGAATTTGGTTTACAAGAGAAGTAAAAGAATCTAATATACCATATAAAACTGGAAAAGCTTGAGTCAACTAAGCAATGACGTCTGCAGAAGCCCATCACATAATGACCTTATACTCGCTTTATAGCCTAGATTCCTCCGCATGAGCAATCTGAAGCGTACTAAATTTTTAGTAAGAAAAAGTCGTTAAGCCGAACCGCATAGGGTAGCTCATTGCGATGTGTAATTTACATACTAATTTATTAAGTATGGTTTGATCGCCAGTGGTGAGGACCATAAGTGAAAAAATGATCGTCGAACTAAACATAAAATCCAGCGAAAAAAAACAAATTGTCATAAAATGGGCTGATGGCAAGGGTAGGCCGCACATGTCAGGATCCTTACACTTTCTGAATGCCTATCAATAAGTGATATTTATTATAGAGTAGAGATCCAGATTAAGTGAGAACTAGTAGTTACGCTTTAGCTCTCTTCATAGCCTTGTTTAGTAGGTTAGTTTAAGATGCGTGCTCGACAAAAATGTATAAATTTGAATCCAAAAAGACTAACAGTTCTATGAAGCTAATTTAAATGGTCTTATATTCAGGCATTGAAAATTCCCAGTAAATCTGAGGTAGGAAAAGGGTTGCTGTGATTTAAAAAAGGCCATTGGATTGCATCGTATCTAAAGAGTCCGTAGAGAAGGAGAAATAAAACCCTTTGTACATTTCTCTATATGTAGCTAGACCACCAGAATAGTGTAAGTTGTCGATTGGAAGAGGATTTGATGATAATTTTGAAAATTACGAAGGGAACTATAAGCCTGAGTGACAAATAATTCGTCCTATTAAAATAGCTGAAATATTCCTCTTAAACCAATGAACTGATTCACCGCTCAGTCCCTATTCAGTTATAAATTGCTTTAAATTGCTGCAAGTCATAATTAATAGCTAAAATTGAATTTCTTTCAATAGAAACAGATAAATTAGGGAATATTTAAGCCATATATAGGGCCGATTTAGCCTACTTAAGCCTTATTAAAGATATAGAAGGTTAAGACGAAGACAATAGAAAAATGACGTTTAAGATTAGGCGTGTAACCCAGGCTAAATGACTAGATAAGACAAGTTCGAAAATGTATTGTTCAGAATAATAGTGTATTCTCATATTTATCAAGCAACCAGATTTGTAATAAAAGCCATAATAATAGTAGGGAGACAATCAGAGACAAATTAGGCACAGAAAGGGAGATCAGATGAGAGCCAATGGAGTATAAAGATCATGTTGCAAAGTAAATTGTGGGAGGTGAACTGCATCGGCTTTTCATCGCCACACATTTGGTCGTGTATTTGTCAAGAGTCCAAATTGTTCGTTAGAAAATTGGCCACCTGAAAGTCACGAAAAGATAGATATAGTAGAGAACGATTACATAGTTAGCAGTTATAGGTAACTTAGGGTACTAAAAATGGTGAGTATGAAGACAGAATATAAGGGAATAGGATGTCTATTATAATCGTCTAAAATAGCGAGGAATCCCAAATACTTGCGTGTAAGAGGAG